AAAATAAATTCTGTGAAAAAAAGAAAAGAAGAAAGATTGACATTTTGATATTGATTTTGAAACAAATTAGTTTGTCTTTCAGTCACGTTTGTTTTTATTCCTCTGAATTGTGATCCTATTTGTGCACATTTTTACCCAAGAATCCCGATTTGTTTTTCAGCAGTCTTTCGTCAGCCTTCAACTTGTAGGGAGAAAATACACGCAAGGTGAAACATTCTCATTTTCAACATGATAGTTGTAATGGTTATAAATAATTTCTTTTCAGTTCCCTAATATGTTTATATTGTGCCCTCTGGCTACCATTGCATTTCATCAATTTATCATTTCCATCATTTTTTCAGTCTTTACTACAAAGTGCACAGTTCCTGAAAAAGAGGATTGAAAGTGCATTACTCTCTGTGTACTAATTAGAAGTCATGATAAAGAAGTTTTTTTATAGGTTGAAGCACAATAATAAATCTGGCAAGGGATTGCCTCTGGCCAAAGGATTCATTTATGTGATAATAATGACACAATAATAATAATAATAATAATAGTTTATGTGATAGTTACTAGAGGTGATTTTCAAATGTCAACTGTCATACTAACAGAATCGATGTAAATTTAGGGCCACTTTTAATCATTTCTGGATATAAAAATTAAAAATAAACATTTTGTCATCATGTTATAATGTGAACATATTTCAGCCTACAGAAGGTGGAAGGCTAACCAGAAATGTTAGACGAATTGGCAGGGTACATTTGAAATATGTTTGAATTGTTGAGAAGTTCAAAGCAGTGTGCTTTACTGGTGTGGAGAGATTGGGTGATTTCATATTGGCACTGTTTTCGATCGGAAATTGCGCAAATTTGTGCCATAAGATGAGGATAATACAAAGATGTTTTATTGAGCCTCATTATATGGTCATCTGAGGACTCATTTAATTCCAATTTCTGGTCGAAATAAGTGCCAAAAGGAATAATCTTAATTTTACATTCTAGCTATATAGAACTGTGCATATAAAAAGGATACCATTATATCTCCATCTCCAACCAAAAAAAAAAAAATAATTAATTCAAATTATTGTTGTTATATTAGTTCATGTTACTCCTACAGAACATTTCATTTTCTGCTGGAATACAATGAGCAATCTCAACTGCTTCTCTACCACAGTTGAACAAAAAACTGAGATGCCATCGCTATTGGTGAACTATATGCTGAACGTATGTGTTATATTGGTTATTAGCGTTCTAATCTTTGATTCCCAATTAAAATTTTCATTCGTGAATAATGTCACCATATTAAATCCTGTTTTAAATGAATATTATAATGAAACTAATTGCTATATATCTCTCTTTTGAAAAAAGATGCATTTTGACAGTACTGCATACATTGTTTAATTTATATAATTAACTTGCTAAAGTGTATGAGTGTTTGACAGATGGAAGTATCTAATGTTGCACAGTTCTAGAAATGCAGTGAAGGTCAAGCAGCAATTAAGAGGCAATTCTTATGATTTAAGTTGCATGAAAAATGTTGTTTGGAGTTTCCTATTATAGACGTACATCACTTCAATTTTCTTGACTTCAACAAAAATGTCAATATCATGGTAATGTGTTTGCTGTTATTTTCATTTTTTGGCAAAGGTGATGTATAGCATTTTTTTTTAATTTAAAGATTTTAAATAACAGAAACCAGAAGCTGCCCCTCTTTTATAAGTTACAAATGAAAGGAAACCATCAGTGTCATTATTCTAATGTTATGGAGTTTGCTATGGCTCATTATCCAAAAGACACAACATTCAATTTCTTCTCCAATATAAATGCAAGAAAAAAGCAAATTCAATCAAGATTTTTTTAAATCCACAGGGGTTTGGAAACCATGCAAACTGCATATCATGAATATGGATTCCAGAAGTTTCAAACACAAGATGCTGATTTGTCTATATTGTATCCCCACTGTTATTGATTCATGTTTGGCAGAGCCAGCTTGTTTGAAATTAATATGTTTTACATGCATGATGTTGAAAACCCAGGAGTACATGCAGCCTTTTTAGTGTAAAGCTCATTGAACCTCAAGTTGATATCCGACTCGGCTAACTAGGCTACCCAGAGACTTCCTGAATAGATTTTGAATTAGGCTTGCTGAAACCTGTGGGAATATTCAAACACATACTGCAACTTTTTACTAGATTTAAACAAAATTGATTGATCTCCCTAGAATGTTTTGTTTGTTGTTCTAAAAAAAAAAGTTCTGAATGATACGACAGTTTCTGCTGAGATGGATATATTTTATAACTGGGAATGAAAAACTTTCAAATAATTATGGAATCTTGTTCACTTTATGAAGATAAATGCAGTTTGGCATGGTTTGCTTTTTTATGTACAGACACAGCATCTGTACATATAGCTATCACCTGCATCTGACATCAGCAAGGCAACTTTCATTGTAAATAATAATCATATGACTTATGATATCCATACTTAAAGGATATCCATACTTAAAGGAATGATTATAAGGATTAAAATACAGCTTGCGTTTGAAAACAATCCTAATTGCATTCTTTTTCTGTATGCACTTATTGACATTTTCAGTGTGTGATTTAAAATCTCCATGGCCCTGATGCCCTTTGCTAGATTCATTTTCTGATTGTCCATGTTACCTCTAGTACATAAATGAAAATTGATGGCGACTTCACTGTTAAGCATTGTGTAATATTGCATCAAATTTTCAAAAAAATTTTTTTTTGTATGTGTGCACTGTTATCATTTCTTTCTGCTTTATGTCTGTACATTTGACAGTTTTGCTGCTCTGTCCTGTAGAAAAAAATGGCAGATATAAAGGGAGAAAAGATTGGAATCTGAGTCAATGGATTACGGAGATTGAATTTTAAAGTTTTATGAGAATTCTTTTCTTCTGAGTGCTTGCATGGGAGTGGAAACTGAATCATTTGAATGAGAGTGGCATTTTCTGTTGAACTTTAGCTTTGGATATGTTTACCTGCTGGTCATTATGTAGCTTTCTTCCCACTTCAGTGTAAATGATTGATAATTCTGTATGACGATATTAGAGACAGACTATTACCAAATAATTTTTGTTCGCTGTCAGTATATTTGTAATTTATTTCAGTCTTGGAAGATCCATAAGGTGGCAGTTGAATTTTTTAACGTTTGTGATATAAAATGAAAATAAGAATGTATTACAGACAATCTGAAAACTGTTACATGATCATCACAGTGAAGTAAATGAGTTTAAAAATTTGACTGTGCTTCAGTTCCACAAAAAAAGTGAAGTCTGGAATTTTTTTAAAGATCATGCTTTTATCAATTTTTCCAAATAATATCTGTTTTCTTTAAGTTTCTCAATTTATCTTTGTTTTTTTCAGTAAATTTTATTTAAGTTTTAATTCAAAATGTTTTTGGTATTTATTCCAGTGGATTTTATTTGAGGTTTATGTTCCTTTCTTGTGTCCCATTCTTCTATTTTTTTTTTTTTTTTT